AGGGGGGAAAAAAAAATTTTTTTTTTTTTTTTTTTAACAGCTCTATATTCAATGAAAGGACTATGATAGAAAGTGCAAGAGACCCTGAAAATCCAAAGGTATGTTCCATAATACAAAATTTCATGTATAAACTTTGCTCATACTTAACGAGGACTCAATTTGTATTGGTTTGCATGCAGTGAAGCAGGAGTCAATTCCTGTTAGTTTGTACACATCTAAGCAGGATTATATGGTTCCTGTTAGTTTGTACAGGTTTTAGCAGGACTTGCTGAACTGTGCTGGTGCATTATGTCAGGCTACAATTATGCATCCAAAATGTAGTTCGAGATATAGATATATATATGGCTAGTTAGATTTAGACTACATGATTGTGAGCTTAGCTATATAGATCCTAAATTGGCAATTTTTAAAGTGAAATTGTCACAGACTGTATTGTAATAATGGAGTATTTGTCTTGTCAAATTGTGTTCTAAAGTAACTGAACCAGCCTATATGGATCTTGATGAAAAAGAGACTATTATTTAAAGCTCTGGATACAACTGTGATAACCTACAGTGTAAGTAACATTTGTATTTATGTTTGACTTGCTTTAATATATTATGTTAAAACAATTGAACTATGTACTGTATGTTAAACAACAACAAGACCTATAGAGAGAGAAGAGCATCAACAGAAGAGAGGAAGAAAGAATAAGAGCACAAATTGAGAAGAAAAAAGAAGAGAAAGGAAATATTAGAAATTGAGAAAATAAGAGCACATATTGAGAAAGAAGAAATGGAGAGAAAAGAGATACTTGAAATAGAGAGAATAAAACTACAAATTGAGATTGCCAAGTTCACCCAACAGAAAGATGGAGGACCCAAGAATTATAATGGGGTCATGAAACCTGACCAAAGCTGTCCAAATTTGTTGAACAGAAAGATGATACAGATACTTTCCTGGAGAGGTGTGAAAGATTTGTCCAAAGTCAGAACTGGGACAAAGGTGACTGGGCAGTCTGTCTCAGCCTCCTTCTCACAGGAAGAGGCCTACAAAGTGTATGTGGGCATGACGTCAGAAGATGCCATGAATTATGACAAGTTAAGTGAATGCTTGCTGAAAGGCTATGAACTTACTGAGGAAGGTTCAGAGAAGTCAAACCTGACATTGGAGAAACTCTATTTCAGTTTGTGGCATGTCTATAGTGATACTTCACAAGGTGGACTGACATAGCCAAATGTGAAGATTGTTTTGAAGGACTAGCAGATCTACATGAACAGCTTATGATCACATGCTCCACTGACATGTCACTGTCTGTAAAAGAAAGTACTGAAAGACATGTAGGAGATAATAAAGCTGGCAGAATGTTATATGGAAGCCCATGAAGGAGTATAACTGGCAAGTCCAAGAATATCCAGTGAAAGTCAAAACTAGGTTTGGCTGACCAGAAGCAGGATGCCACAAAAGGTGACAAGAAGTCAACCGACAAATGGGAGAAGATATGCTATGCTTGTTATAAAATGGGACACATTGCTAGTGAGTGCAAGTCTATCACCAACAAGCAACTGCAGAAAGCTCAACATAACGTCGTAGCTGGAGCCATTTACAAAGACAGTGCTGGAAAGAAACAAGAAAAGAGTTATTGTCACCATGGATGCTGCTTAAAGAAGAAACAGAATATAGATAATTCATCAGATTCACCACAGGAAGGAAGTTCTATAACCATGATTAAACAGTGCATGATTAATTGTCAGCTCAAGTTAGCAAATGAGTTAACAATGCCAGTGGTGATGAGAACATATGACAAACATCGGGAGGTGCCAACAAATCACAAAATGCCAGTAGGTGTAGGCTATGTTAGGGACAAGAAAGTGAAAGTTATGTGAGACACTGGGTGCAGAAGTGAAAACCAGTCTAGTATCTGATAACCAGATGATGGGCAAGGTACATCTGTGGGTGCTGATTGATTGGGCAGTGAGAAAGTTTCCCATAGCAAGAATAAAAGTGGACACTCCATATTATGTGGGAGACCTTGTGGCCAAATCTACGACTTTGTGATTAGCAATATTCCAGACAGTAGACGTTTAGAGGAACCAGACAGAAATGAGACTGATGAATCATCTACAGTCACCACAAGAGCTCAGGAAAAGAAGAGCAAACAAGACATCAAGCTTCAGCAAGTCTTGAAAGGTGACATCCCAAATGTATTGTCTGTGGGAACTGAAGGAAGCACTGAAAAGAGTTGAGCACAAGACAAAGGGGAAAGGTATTTACAGTATAGAAGATCAGAAAGGAGTGCTGTACCAGATCTATCAAGGCATTTCTACTGGGGAAGTTAAACAGATCATAATACCAACAGAATACCAGACTTAAGTGATGAAGTTGGCTCATGAATCAATTGTGGGAGGACACTTAGAAGTAAAGAAGACAGTAGAGAGAATCACCAACAACTTCCATTGGCTGGAGGTCATCAAAGATGTGACTAGATTCTGCAGGTCATATGACATCTGCCAAAGGACAGTACCTAGAGGGAAGATAACCAAGGTGATGAGCCATTTGACAGAGTAGCTGTGAACTTGATTGGACCATAGCACCTGTATCTGACAAGGGCACCCAGTATATGCTGACAGTAGTCCACCATGTAACACATTACCCTGAAACGATACCCTTGCCAAAGATACACACAGAGAGAGTAGCAGAAGCCCTCCTGGAAATGTTCTGTAGAGTAGACTTTACAAAAAAGTCTTGTATTACAGAATGTCCCAGTTTACTTTAGAACTGATGCAAGAGGTGTGCAGACTCATCAACACTAGGCAGCTCTTTACCATCCTATACAACCCCAGATGTAATAGACTCTGTGAGAGAATCAACAGAGTCTTAAAAAGTGTGGTGAAGAAGATGTGCTAGAAGAAACCAAGTGACTGGGACAGGTACTTGCAAGCAGTATTATTTGCTTACTAAGAAGTCCCTGAAGCAAATACAGGATTTTCACCTTTCCATTAATGTACAGAAGAACAGTACGAGGTCAATGCAGATATTGAAAGAACTATGGAGAGGAGAAGAAAAGTCAGAAGTGAGGAACATGTACCATTACTTGTTAGACATCATAAATAGACTGGAAGAGACCTGTCTACTTGCACAAGAAAGTTTGTATGCAGCTTAAGGAAGACAGAAACACTTCTGTGACAAGAAGACCAAGTATTGATGTTTCGAGGCTGGACAAAAGGTTTGTTACTGCTACGCACACACAACAAAGAACTCACCCTGCAGTGGAAAGGACCTTTAGAAGTGCAGAAAGTGGTCAACAGAATGGATCATAAAGTGAAAACAGATGGGAAGACCATGATCTACCACTCCAATCTGTTGAAAAGGTACTTTGAGAGGGAAGAAGATCTAATGGAAGCAGCTATTGAGGCACAGATGGACATGACAGCTGTAGCTGTCTTAGATGCAGAACCAGAAATGGTAACTTTGTTATAGAAGATGAAGACCTATTAAACCTAAAATTGCTGGGTGGAGATGAGACATACAAAGACATCAACGTCAGTGAAGAACTGACAGGCAAGGAAGAGTTAGAAGATCTACTGTGCTAGTACACAAATGTCTTCACACATAGACCAGTCAAGACAGACCTTGTGCAACACAAGGTTGAGACCACGACCAGGGATCCAGTCAAGGTGAAGCCCTACCAGAAGCTGAACCTTCTGATGAACTTTGACTCTGAACTTACAGGCAACCCAGAGGCCATCATGGTGAAACTAGACAGGGCTAAGTTCTTTACCAAGATTGACCTGAGTAAAGGTTATTGGCAGATCACGATGGAGACAGAGTCTAAAGAGAAGACAGCCTTTGTGTCACCAAATGGATGCTACCAATTCACTTGGATGCCGTTTAGGTTAGTCAACTCAGCAGTGACATGATAAGGAAAATGTTGCACAATACCACCAAGATTGAGCATTATGTGGACAACATTTTGATCCACACAGCCAGATGGGAAGACCACCTGAAGAAACTCGGAGAGTTGTTTGGATGAATGAGGATAGCAGGTCTGACCATCAGGTCATCTCAAGTGTCACATCAGTTATTGTGTGCTGGACTTTGTTGGGCACAAGGTGGGCAACAGACAGATAGCCATGGAAGAGGAGAAGTAATGACCAAGCAGCAAGTCATATACTTCCTGGGTTAGTGGGATACTATAGGAAGCTCATTTCAAATTATGCTGAAGTCACTGTACCAGACCAAGAAAGGCCAACCCAACAAGGTGAAGTAGAAACAAACACAGCAGATGACATTCCAGAAGTTGAAGAACATGTTTGGAAGTTTGCCAGTCCTTAGAATGCCAGACTTCAACAAACTGTTCATCATTCAGGCCATTGTATCAGATGTTAGACATGAAGATAGACTGCTCCCATAATGTATGTCAGTAAGAAGCTCATGAGTAGTAAGAAGAACTACTCTGTGAACGAGAGTATCTGGCCATCATTTTTGCCATCCAGAACTGATTCTACGGAAAGGAGTTCATCAAGATGCGCCGTTAGCCTCTTGCATACATCCAGAGGTTCAAAATCAACAGTGTGAGGATCATGAAATGGACATTGTATGTGCAGAAATACTTGTTCCTCATTGAGGCCATCAAATGGCCTGCAAATGTTGGAGCACACTGTATGAGTAGACTTTATGCCTGGACTGAACTTTGTATTTTTCTTCAAGAAAGGATTATTGTTAGATATATATGACTGTTTCGATTGAAGTTTAATGTGAGTGCTAAATTTAGTTATTTTTAGAGCAATAGTTCATCCCACATCTGTTTACATAACTGTTTATGAATCATACCTTGGGTAGTTCAGTTGTTGCAATAATACAATAATCATTGCACCTAAGTTTTTCTCATTGTTTTAATTGAGTGTTAATGCATCATAGTATATCGTAGTGTGCAGAACATTCTAAGTTTGGGTTGGGCTATAATTATGCATTCAACATATAGTTCGAGATATAGTTGTATATTATGAGTTAGATCTATACTGTGTGATTGTGAGCTTAGCCATAAAGAGCAAATAATGTCCATTTCTAAAGTGAAATTATCACAGATGGTATTGTAATAACATAGTAGTGAGGAAATAATTTGTCAATTGTGTTCTAAAGTAATTGAACCAGTCTGTGTGGACAAAAAACAGACATTTGTTTAACGTTTTAGATACAACTGTGGTAACCAACAGTGTAACCAGTGTATGGTGTAGTTACTACCGTTTACCAGACTCAGTGTCTGGTGTAGTTACTACCGTTTACCAGACTCAGTGTCTGGTGTAGTTACGACCGTTTACCAGACCCGGCGTCTGGTGTAGTTACGACCGTTTACCAGACCCGGCGTCTGGTGTAGTTACGACCATTTACCAGACCCGGCGTCTGGTGTAGTTACGACCGTTTACCAGACCCGGCGTCTGGTGTAGTTACGACCGTTTACCAGACCCGGCGTCTGGTGTAGTTACGACCGTTTACCAGACCCGGCGTCTGGTGTAGTTACGACCGTTTACCAGACTCGGCGTCTGGTGTAGTTACGACCGTTTACCAGACTCAGCGTCTGGTGTAGTTACTACCGTTTACCAGACTCAGTGTCTGGTGTAGTTACTAGCATGCAAATAGAACCAACTGTAAAATGTTATAGTTAGATAGTAAGTGGTACATCAAGTTGGGTAAGTTGCTTTTTTTTTTATATGAATTTTATAGAAATAGACATTTTCAACCAGAATGAAGTATGGTTCCTATTCATGAGAGTTTTAAATTATTCCTTGTCTCAATGAACAAAAAGAAATACAGTTAGAATATGCTAATTTTTACAGAGACAGATAACAGTTATACAGATGCTGGAGTTTACAGGTAAAGGTAAGAACATAAATATTATAGTGATCTGGATATTTTTTTTTGTTTATATTGAGATAGATAACTCTTTGGTTTTATTACTTGTGAAGAGAACTCCATAGATTTGTGAATTATAGAGAGCTTTGTGGATTTCTTTCCTTAATTAGATTAAAACTTTGGAGAGGAATATGAATTACTTAATATGTTCTACAACTGTATTTGGTAGCCCTAAAACAATTGCATTATAATACAATATAGAACCTAAACATAAATGTAAAGGTCAGAAATAAACTGTAGGATCATTGAAACTGAATAATTTGTGTTTGTAAGAACATTTTTGTTGTTTAAAGAGTACAACCAGTTGTAGCTAAACAAAAATCTTTATGTAAAATTGTAGAAGTCTAATCTGTAGATTGAAAATAAACTAAAATTACTATTGAACTTTCTTCTGAAATTTATTTTTCCTTAACAGATTGGTGTGGTGTCAACAGTTTTGAATCAGCCTACCCTTCAAGCCTTTGTGTTCCGCAACTATGGTCTTCCACCTCGTGTTACCTCACAGTACTTGGGGGGATGTAACCACAAAATGTGGCAGGCAGTCCGAGCATCGGCTGCTGCCCCAGGTTATTTTGAAGAATACCAGCTTGACGACATGCTGCATCAGGTTTGTTGTACTTTACGTTTAATGAAAATTACAAATATTGTAACATGGTATAAAATAAAAGAATCGTGTTCAGTCTTTTGACACCAGAAAAGAAGTTACAAAATGCAATGTATTTTTCATGTTCACCAGCCTGTCCAACTGTAATAGAAGTTTTAATGTGTGAAGATCACAGGCCTGTGTATCTTAACACAACAGTGTTTGATAAGTTTTGTGTATGTGGATCACTGGTCTGTGTACGTTAACATGACAATCTTTGATAAGTTTTAGTGTATGTGGATCACTGGTCTGTGTACGTTAACATGACAATCTTTGATAAGTTTTAGTGTCTGTGTATATTAACACAAAAGTGTTTGATAAGTTTTAGTGTATGTGGATTACTGGTCTGTGTACGTTAACATGACAATCTTTGACAAGTTTTAGTGTCTGTGTATGTTAACACAACAGTATTTGATAAGTTTTAGTGTATGTGGATCACTGGTCTGTGTACATTAACATGACAATCTTTGATAAGTTTTAGTGTGTGTGTATATGTTAACACAACAGTGTTTGATATGTTTTAGAGTATGTGGATTACTGGTCTGTGTACGTTAACATGACAATCTTTGATAAGTTTTAGTGTGTGTGTGTATATGTTAACACAACAGTGTTTGATAAGTTTTAGTGTATGTGGATTACTAGTCTGTGTACGTTAACATGACAATCTTTGATAAGTTTTAGTGTGTGTGTGTATAT